ATCTTTGCCATATTCAACCTGTCAATACTGAAGCTGGCTAAAAACATTAAAGTACACATGAGAAAAATCACAGACGGCACTAGCTGAAACCCTCCTCAGATATGCTTCTTGGTCTGTTGGTTGAATGCAAGGAAGTTTAGCAAAAGAAGGTACAGTACACAGTTAAAAAAAGAATTAGTCTTCAAACTAACTGACAAAAAAAAAAAAATACAAATCACTCAGGCCAGATGGCATTCACCAAAAAGTTCTTACAGATCTCAAATGTGAAATTGCAAGACTATTCCAATAAAATATGTAACTTGTCACTAAAATCTGCCCTTTTGCAAGACTCTGGATAGTGGCCAACACAATACTATTGTTTTAAAAGATAATTGGTGCATGTTGTAGTAGAAAATTACAGACCTGTCAGCTTTATATCTGTTCCGCATAAACTGATGGTAACTATTGTTAATGGCATAATTTTTAAACACTTTGAAGAACAAGCCTTGTTGATAAAGTATCAGTACGGCTTTGACAATGGTAAATCTTTCGTCACTATCTGGGATTTGTCCAGTGTGTCAACAAGCATGCAAATAGGGATGGATCTTGAATAAATATACATTTATTTATTTATCCGTTCGTTCGTTCGTTCATTCCATCATCCATTCAAAGTACCATATCAAAATATTCTTTCAGCCCCTCAACAATTATGAAGACAGATATTCTTATAGATTAGTAAGAAACTAGTTAAAACACTGTAAGCACAAGACAGGAATAAATGGCCAGTTTTATGTAGTATTTTCTTTCGTCTTGAATTATAGCCTCAGAAAACCATCATATGGAAGTGTAGGAGAGAGCTTATGGTGGAAGAACTGTCACATCCTGACCTTTTAAAGGCTTGTGCCAGCCAGGGCAGAAGGTGAGGGGTGGCAACTTGTTTTATTTTTATTTCTGTCAAATCATTAAAAAAACCAAAACCCTTCCATTGGTTCTAATGGAAGTGAAAATAATGAACCCAGCTACAGAGCTCCTGTGGCTTCTCCCTACACACCTTGTCTTGGGCATGTTGAGCGAAGGGGAATATTCTGGATCATACGCATCCAAGACCTTCCCTGATCCAGCCCAATGCACCACTGTACGTCCCTTACTAACAGAGCACAGACAGGAGTGATTGTATTGGAAAGCTCTGCTGCCATCCAGGGACAATCTCCGGCAGCAGACCTGCCTCTCTGAAGTTAACTCCCCTCTCTACTCTTCCCAGGGACAACGAAACACCTTGTTCATGATTAGCAAATTACAAGTACAGTAGAAGGTGCAACTTACCCCTAGGAGACTTTCAATACAATACAATAAACTATGGGTAGGCAAACTAAGGCCCGGGGCCTTCTCAGTCCGTCCCGCGGACGTTTCAGAAATCAGCATTTTTTAACATGAGTAGAATGTCTCCTTTTATTTAAAATGCATCTCTGGGTTATTTGTGGGGCCTGCCTGGTGTTTTTACATGAGTAGAATGTGTGCTTTTATTTAAAATGCATCTCTGGGTTATTTGTGGGGCATAGGAATTCGTTCATTCCCCCCCCCCAAAAAAAATAATTGCCCGGCCCCCTACAAGGTCTGAGGGACAGTGGACCGGCCCCCTGCTGAAAAAGTTTGCTGACCCCTGCAATAAACAAAATACAACATCTTTTGCCGTGTGTGTATATATTTAGTATGGAATTTGTATGGCACATTAAAAAATATTATTCCCAATTAATAAGTAGTTGGCTGAGGCAGAGGAATGAAAGAGGAGCAAGTATTCTATTTCCATGAGAAATAAGTTGCTTCTCCTGACCTCCAGGATCCAGCGAGCCAGTTCGAGTTTCCGGAATCATCAGTTTGGTTTCAGTGCTGTGCAGATAGGGGAATACAGTCCACCAAGGTGGCATCACCAATCTCATATGGTTGACCAGGGCAGCCATACACCATTGCAAATTTGTACGAGCTCGCTTTCCATGCACACTATAGACTATCCAAGTGTAAAAACTATCTGGGTGGGTGGCATAACACATTCCATCAGCAAAAGGATTCCCACTTCCCCATGGTTGCCGTCCCTACAGTTCTCCAAACCCTCCAGCGTTTTGGGGAGGGAGTGGGATGAGGAGAGAGGGTAAATGCTTGCACCAATGGAATGAGCTAGTTGGATACTGCTCAATGTAACTTTCCTTTGCACATTTTTGTGCTCACACCTCTACTCTGCAAGCATGTGAAACTACTCTCCAGAAGGGCCACAGTTGCAATTATTGGGCCTTATAAAACCTTATCCTTGCCTTATTTGTATATTTAGTAACAACTCACCTGTTTTATACCTTGATTGTAAGTAAGCAAGTTCGTTTGAAACAACAGAGAGCTGATTTTCATGTAGATTATTATGGATTTGGTTGTCAGAAGAGCAAAAGGATTTTATTTTTTTAAAACATGCAACAAAAGCTACCAGGGAAAAAACCCACCAGATTTATTACCAATGAACACCGTGGCAAGAAAAACAAAATGCTTTAGTGGAAGATTACAGGAAAATTTAACAAATCCTTACATTCAGATAAATATATTCTTAAAACACATTCTTAAATAATCAGTATGGTTTAGCAGAACATAATGTGAAAAATATACTCCAGACTTCTGAACTAGGCAGGAGCAGCTGCTTTCACAGCAGTGAAACATTTCAGGCCGAACTGTACTGGCTCATAGGACAAATGGTTTAAAGTCTGTATGGCGCAGAAAGAACCCGCGTTTTTAGGAAATGTCAGCATCTTCTTTTTTTGAAAAAAACAAAAAAAACACTTTCTGTCCAATTGGAGCGAGATTTGAAACCTTAAAAATTTGGCAGCACTGGCTTGATTTTTTAAAATGAAATGTTGGAAGTTATGAAACAAGCTGCTTGGACCTCATACAGTTCGTTCATGAGTCAGCACCAACTGGACTTTGGAAACAGGTTTCTATTGGTTCTAACAGTACTTATTGTCAGGATTATGGCAGTGCAGGTGCCAAATTCAGGAACCCTTGATGCCAAATCCTCTGTTTCCAGGCAGAAAACAACAACAACTGGCCAAACATGCACCAAACTCTAGTTGTGACCTCCAGAAACACCAAAGCGAAAGAGCTCATTCTCCATCGCCCATTTATTTTGGGAAACCTGCCATAGGAGTGGAGACAATTCAATACACCATTAGCTTGGAAGATTGCATCTCCGTGATGTCAGACATGCAAATGGGAAGTGAGAGATGACATTGCCCATAGGAAATAATATTTTAGCAACCAACCAGAAGAGTTGAGAAAAAAATCCTAAAGCATTCTTGCATAGTTAACTCTAGCCAGCAGTTCTGTAGAAATGCAGAATGTTCTTTTATGACTTTACGAGTCCAGTGCAAGTCAGATCTCAGATGCAGAAAGCAAAATGTTGATAAGTCCTTTGGCTACATGCAATACTGAATGGGGGCAGTGATGGTGGGGCAGATGCCAATTGCTGTATTATTTTAATGCATTCAGCGCCAAAATGTCCCAGATATCTAATCTAAGGCAAGTGAAGTAACAAATACACAAGAAAGAAAGGGGGGGAGGACACCTATAACTTCAAGCTTAGTGACAGAAGATCCTGCTGCGGGGGAACAAAATAGAGAATTCAAACTACTCAAGGGTGAGAAGAGACTCCAACACTTACGTAGCCAGCAAGAAACTAGCCTGTTGAACAAAGGTAACATTGATGTTAGTTGCTCTGCCCACTTTTGTGGGCCTCTGAAGTTTGGCCAGAAGGAAATGAAGCCCTTGGGCTGAAAAGATTCCCCACCCCTGTTTTAAGCTACCTGGGACCAGAAAATACAATCAGACATTAGGTAGACAGATAGAGAGCAGCTTTTCTATAGCTGTACCTTGTATCCCGCCTAAGCAATATCTGTCTCGTGCTTTCTTTACTATCTTTTGATGCCCAGCAAATTCATGATCAAATTATAAGTCACCTGTGTTCACAGATGTCTTCTGTGATTTGTTGTAAACCTGTTTAAAAATATGAAACTCCATGAGGAGCCACACTTTGGGTCAATGTTTTCATAGTGCTGGCAAGCAACAGATCTGTTTAGGGTTGGGTTGTGGGTTTTTTACTGTGTAATGTATAATACTTAAGTGTAATACAATTATATATTTTAAGTGAGTATAAATTATCAATAAATAATAATCCCTACAGATCGGAATGAAAACTGAATGAGGGAAATATTGAGAGGCCCTGGCTTCAGTTTCTTGCAGTACTGTACACAATTATACATTTCTAATGCTGGTTCCTAATCTTTTCTGCCTTTTGAAGTCACACCATCTCCAGTGGTGGTGTAACTAATCTTGGTTCCACCACAGTATTTCACTTTTTGTACTAGAACATACAAGGTTGCAGCACTTACACCCCTTTTGGCTATCAAGTGTCCTTTAAGCCTGTTGCTCATGTATTGCTCAGGTGTTGAAGAACACATATGGGTATAAACTGAGGAGGCAGCCTGGGGCTTCATGTGAAGGACCTGTCCCTAAAGGCCCTGTTCCCACTGGTTCTAGGTCCAAACTCTGCATGTTGCAGCTGGAAAGTTGAAGAGGAATTCTTCACAAGTTCAGCTGAACCCACTCAGAATCCTTCCTACAATATGGAATCCTGCGCAATCTCAATCACTGAGGGGAATCTAAACGTATTCAACCAAACAGTGGAAGAATCCCAGTCTAGACCATTTCAATCAATGTAGGAAAGGACAGGGGTAGAAACAGGAACATTGAGGGTGGGGAGTGCACAGCCCCTCCACAATTTAAGCCCTCAAATGTTCGCTGAATGTCTGAAGAGAGCTTCTGTTTTGTTCCAGATCTAGCTAACATGCTCCATTAACACTTCCTTCTTGCTGGTTAGCAATTTTCAAAACAAGCACATATTTCATAGCATCATAGAACTGCATAAATGGAAAGGGACCTTGAGGGTCATCTAGTACAACTCCCTGCAATGCAAGAATCCTGCCTACAGCCATCCCTGGGTGGGCTTGAACCACCAACCTTCTGGTTAGCAGTGAGATGTACTGACTCATTGCGCCACAGAGATGTCTCTGTTGAAGTGAGATTAAGGGGACCTCAAAAACAGGAATAGCATAGTAAAGGACAACCTCACATCAAAAGCCCTCTTGACTGAATGCTCCCACTGAGTCACAAGTTATGTTTGGTCATGCTGCAGAGCAGATGGACATAGACCAGCTCTGCAGCTGAATCAAATGTATAATTGGAGCAAATCTGTAGATTTGCACCAGTACAAACAATGCCTTAGATTTAACAAAACCAAACCTTTCCATTCTCCTATATTTTATCAGCTCCAGGCTTTTCTACTCAAATCCCATCTCCTTCCTAAGACACCTGCAGCTTATCAGACAACAGTACACTATTATCTGTTGTTTTTTAATATAGTCGCCCCTATACTGTCTCTTATAAACCAAAGCAAACAATATAAGTGTGGGAACTTCACCCAAAGTTTTCAATCCTATCTTGATAGCACATTTATAAGTCTGCCTGGAATTTGAAAACAACAAAGTTTCTCAAAGACCTGTATCTAGAGGGTGTGCTTTTTTAAACTAGAGAAAAACACAATGTCAGTAATCAATTAGTTTCAGGGGTTATAAATATCCTGGATACTGTGAAATGCAAGCATCTGTATTCAGTGTTCCTTCCTTCAGTCATATCATGCTAATGACCTATCACTACAAACCTGCTCAACAATAAGAATGTAGTATGTTGAAGAAATTCCACCCAGGACTGTCCAATCCTCTGAATGGCTTCCTCAGTTAAGTCCCTCTAGATTCAACAAGACTTACAATACAGTTGTACCTCTGGTTACAAACTTAATTCGTTCCGGAGGTCTGTTCTTAACCCGAAACTGTTCTTAACCTGAGGTACCACTTTAGCTAATGGGGCCTCCTGTTGCTGCCGCACCACCAGCACGTGATTTCTGTTCTCATCCTGAGGAAAAGTTCTTAAACCAAGGTACCACTTCCAGGTTAGCGGAGTCTGTAACCCGAAGTGTTTATAACCCGAGGTACTACTGTACTCCCATGTAAATGAGCTAAGGACTGCAATCTAAACAGAACGGGGGGAGGGGGGGAGAGATACTGACTGGAATGCATATAACTTTTTGTAAATGTGTATCAGAATTGTGGTTGAGCTACACTATCAGCAGCGGCACAGAGACCTCAATACAACCAGACAATGATATTTAGGTAAACTCAACCATTGATTGTGGAGTGTTTACATTTTAGTGCAACAAAAGCTTCCATTCATAATGGTTCAATTTAAACATAAAATTTCAAAGTTCAAATAATAGAACTTTCTTAATCAACATCCTTCATCTTGCACCTATTCTTGACGTATTCTTCCATGGTTTGCTTTAACTATAGTTTAGTTTCGAGTCATAACTGGGGCCTACTACAATGAGAGACAAGGTAATCACAGTTGCCTCAAAACCAAGGGTTCAAACCATGATTTGGAGAAATCCTAGATAGCTCTAATCACAGTTATCAGATGTAAGACTATAGCTATGGTTGCAGCAAACTATGGTAGGATAGGGAGATTCCTGTACAAATAGGGTGGGGGGAGAAGAGGGAGCCAATAGGCATGTTCAAGATCTCCCCAGATCATGGTGTAGAGATTGGAAACATCTGAATTGACCATACTGGTTAAACTGTATGCACCGCATATCCTTACGCTGCTTACAATTCAGAAGAATTAATATCAATTAATTTTTAAAAATTCAAATTGAATAAACTGAAACTTGAACAAGGCATCCAATAAGGGAAAGTGGGAATTGATTTCATCATTTTTGCTGCACACATTTAACAGAAAAACGAAGCTAAATCAGAACACATTTGCTATTAAGGATGCCTGTTTAACCGTCTATGATATTTGCAGAACAAGTACAGCAGAGACAGCAGCAACAAAAGCATATTCCCTATGAAAAACTGAATATGGGTTACTACTAAGTGAGAGACAGCAGACTCAAAGCAAAGAGAGAGAGAGATGTCAAAAGACAGGCCTCCTTCCATTCTCATTTAATCAAAACCATACAATTAGTAGATGTCCATTGTTCTTTAAATTTTATTTTATACACAACAATGGATGCAATAAAATATAATAAAATATAATTAAGAGGAGTCAAGTCACACTACTTGATTTCAGTGGCATACGGATTTGTACCCATTATGTTTTGAAGCTACCCATGCCTTAACTATGCCTTCAAAAGCTCCAAGCTACATACTGTTCGTCCTGTGACTAATGAAAACTGGATATGTCCATTCCTTTCACAATTCCTTCTACCTATTTCACAATACCCTCAGCCCCTGCTGGCCTTCTTAGAATCCTGGCAAAAACAAACACTTCAATTAATTAGTGCTAGAGACTGAAGAACGATGACAATGAGGAAGCAAAGGATCAGGCCCTAGTGGTACAGGATAGAAAAATGTGTCCTAAAAAAAAAAAAAAAAGCAACAGCAAGCATTAGTTTTCAACAAAAATTTCAGAATACTGAAAAATAAGCAGGACTATCCAGGACACACGCAGTTAAGTTGAATGGGTCCCAAGCCTGAGAAGGAACAAACTCTTACCTCAGTATGTAACTGGGAACCATGGCATAAAAGCGTCAAGATCTACCTTATCATACTACAATAACATCGCTATTGAAGAAAGCCTATTAGAGAAGAGAGCATATTTAAATCATCATCATCATTTATTGGTTAGGTGTTTGGGGTTTTTTTTTTACTTTGTGTTTACTTGAGCAGGACAAGCATTTTATCTGAAGCCAGTTTCACTTTTGCATATACTGGTAGTTTCCCTGCTGATGCTGAAACTGAATTGCCAATACTATGCAGACAGAGGAGATGCTGGGTTTGTTTTTTGTTTGTTTTGTTTTGTTTTGTTTTGTAACATAAATAATTAAAAGAGTTTAATATATATTTTTAAAAAATAAATAACTTGGAATAAACTTGAACCGTTTGGTTTTTTTTAAGCTCCTCACGGCCACAAGTATCTTTGCTGTGCTGCCGTAGAGAAGTCCTATAAAATTACATAAGGATGAAACTGATCAAGAAGGTCACTTTTTTCATCTTTTTCTGAGCAGAATGTTTCATGTAACAGCTCTCCTTGAAAATTACTAAGGCTTTTTTTTAAGAGATGCAGAAAGGATATTTTAAATGGAGTTAAAACTAACTCTAAATGTCTTTAAGTTTCTTGCTTTTGTTGCTATTCTTTAATGCTTCATAGGTATTCATCTATGCTTCTCTTGCAGGAGAGAAAACTTAATATTTCTAATAAATCAGAAAACTGTCCCATACGACTTTATCAAGTAAAAAGGACTGAATGATTTTCTCTCTTCCATAAAGGCTTTAGCCAAAGTCCATTGAAGTCAATGAACTTTGGGTCGTGACCCTAAAGCCAAATATAGCAGAAAATAATTTCTGAAACAAACTTCAGTTTAGTAGACATTTTGCTACCAAATTTGCCTGCTTGGTATTTTCACATTCTGGTCCTATTAACAAGTAGGGACTGACTAAACTCTCAAAGGAATTAACGAAGAATACATGTATACCAGTCAGTCCAAATTGTTTTAGCTACAGGGCATGGCAAAGCATGAAATAACTACTGTACTTCAGAGCACTTCCTCATGTGGGTGTGTTAGATAACTGTCTGTTCCAACGCTAAAATAAAGCAGACTGTGACCAAACCAACGCTACTGTAGGATGTTCTCCTACTAGATGGAAAGGGGTTTCAAAGAACTGCAAGGTGCACAACCTATTATGCCCAGCAACGTTACTAACATTCATTACTGCTCACTCAGTTACTTCTTCTGAAGTTTACTTTTCACGGCTCAATACAAGTTACCATCAAGTACCATACAAGTTACGGCTCAATACAAGTTCTGTTAATTAAGAGAGATTTTGCAGGGAAATAATTTATGCCAAAAAAATCAAATATTTTCAATGACATTTTTTTTTTCTTTTAAAATCCACATTCTTCTTTTAACTCAGGAAAAAGCACACACACACACAAACAAACAGATTTGCCCCATGCAATGTGATAGTTTGCTCACCCAAGGGTCTTATAAAATTAAGCAATATATTTTTACCCTTTTTTAAAAAGTGGGATGTAGAACAGCTGGCACAACATCTTCCATACCACAAATTCATGAAATATTACAATAAAATAAAATATGATAAGCCTGCAAGGATCCCTGCAATTGAAAGAGGTACCCTATAAGGGAATATATACTATTCTAGTTCAAAAGCAAGCATCAGGTGTCTGAAAACACATACACTTCACATGGGGTGACTGGCAGCTGAACACTGCTGCTGAAGCTTGCCAAGCGTTCACCAAATTGCTCCCCCTCTGAGGCATTTAATAATTTGCACACAGCTCTTCTCGCTTTCCTACCTCCCAGCCTAGACCAAAGTTTCAAGGTCTGCAATTCCTGGCAGGGGAACTACGTACACTTTTAAGGCTACAGATTCTTATGCTTAGTTCATATATATTTAAAAAGAAGTATATGTCCTTGCTTAAAAACAACTGTTGGTGTGTCTGACTTAAATGACAAGTAAGGGAAGATAAAAGAGGCAACTGAATTGCTATCCGAAGTAATATCATCTTGGGCTGCTGGGGGTGGAGTGTCACACTGCAGAAAACTGTACTTAAAAGTCCATCATAAAACATTTTGCCAACCAAACTTATTTTAATGCACATTTATCAAAGTATTAGGGGCTGAAAAAAATTCAATATAGCATGAGGGAGCCTTCTTTGCCAAGTCTGTTGGATCATTTGTTGCAGTAGTTTAAATTAACATGGCTTGTCCAGCATATCCTCTGGTGAGATGGGAAGCTTATAAGTTTAAAAAAACAACAGCAGCAACAAAAGAAAAACTTGGCATGCTGCTTTCAAGTGGACAACACTGATAACATCAAAAACTTTTATCATCTGGAAAGTATAAATTAAATAAATGATGCGAGCAATCTCTTCTACGCTGCTAGGTGGGTTAGGTAAATAGCTGTAAGGCCTCCTTTGTGTTATCAAGAAAGGCCTAATGCAATTTAAAATAAGGTATGTCTCTTGTTATTTTATAATCTTGTTTTTAATGGATTGTGACTGTTGAAAGATCTCCACTGATTAGCATCCATTTTCTATAGCATAGTAATTACTCATGGATTCTCCACAATATTTTATGTAACTCCCTTCCACTTTCTCCTGCTTTCTTTTTATATAGCCAGCGAGTGTTGTAGTTTTACTCTGTAGAAGCACAGACATGAGTTCAGGTTTAAAAATCCTTCTAAATGGATCAGCTTGGCCAGCCTTTAAAAGCTACTGCGGGGAGGGGGGGGGGGAGAGAGAAAGAACTATCATGAAAAGCTCCTCAAACAATTTAAAATGGTCTTCGGCACTCATCACAGTCCGTTCCTTGGCAAAATAAAAATAATCTCGCAAACATCTCCAGTGCTTGAAACAATATACAGCTTATGGGAGAAAAGGAATAAATAGCCTTTAAAAAAATAATAATAATAAAGCACCCTCTCTCAAGACATTTTGGTACATTGTAAAAGACCCTCTCCCAGCATCAACACAGAGCAAAACACAAGCACACTTCAAGAGAGTGTGGGATGAAAAGAGTTGTGTGTATATATGCGTGTGTGTGTGTGTGTGTGTGTGTGTGGAGGGGGGAGGAAGAGGATTGGAAGAAATCAGGGATACTAACTCCCCTTTAGAAAGTTTGAATTCTTACTCCTCAAAAGTAGCCCGTCTAGTTAAAAAAAAAAAAAAAGCTATACTCTCTCTTTTTTTCCTTCTTTCACACACTAGCAGCAATCATATATTTTTTAAAAAAATATATTTTTTGGCAGGCAGGGAACAGATAGATGTAGAATATTGCATTCGAGAACATCTATCCCCAAAGAATGATTTATATATATTTTTAAAATCCCTTTCAAAATAGTGCGGCCTGCTTCCCAGGTTGCAATTTGTTTTCATATATCGAAAATATGGACTTTAAACTCACAACAGATACCAAACAAAGAACAGTAACTATAATCTCTGGTCACCGGCATTACAGTTAAAAACTCATTGGCAAACACTGAGAAACAAACACACACACACGCACACACACAACATTTAGCAGTAAACAAGGAGAACATGATATATGGACAGACAGATGGAACATAAACAGAAAGGAAAAAGCAGAGACCCACTAACATACGGAGAGGGTTGTTTTAAAGGAGTGAAAGATATTGATTTACTTGGAACCGGTGTTGGAAAAACAAACATATTTGTTTCCTTTCCTGATTTAAAATAAAAAGTAATTAAAGTGAAATATTATAAAGCAGCATATCTTTAAATAAGTGGTATAGAGGAGGGGGGGATGCATTTGTGAAGGAGGCTGGCCTATAGATGTTCCAAAATTTTCTGCTCACACATAGGTCTCACAAAACTTGCATCCCTAAAATAAAACAGCAAGAGGAGAGGAGATAATACAGAAGTGTCAAGGGAAGGAGGGGGGGGATTGTGGGGAAAGGAAAGGAAAATATTATCTCTCTCTCCTTTTTTTATAAAAGTTGACTGGCCTACCTTGCTCCCCAGTCCTCAGTTTGTCTCCTCATAGTCGCTGTCTCCCTGGAAGTGCAGTGTGAATGGTAATGACTGCCTGCCTCCCTAATGAGTCCATTTTCCTGCTCTTGATGTTGTGTATATACACACACTGCAACCTACCTTACAAACCACAGAGACGGGAAAGGGAGAGAGAGAGAGAGAGAGCGAGAGAGAGAGCGAGAGCGCAAAGCGAGAGTGTGAGAGATAGAGAGAAAGGCACACACAGACAAAGCCCTCCTACCAGACAGCAGACAACCCTCCTTCCCCTATCTAGCAAAATACAACTCGGCTAATGCAGCAACAGGTTCAACGCTGCCAGACTGAGACCGTGCAATAGAAAAGGGTATATATATAGTGGAGATCAGGATTTCTGGCACACAAGCCGTTTAATGTCAGCTGGCCCCACCTTCCTTATTTATGTTACAGGATGTTGGAATGCATTGTTCCAGGCAGTCCGTGTAATTATCATAAATACATTTTTTTGGTGTGTATATTAGCAGGAAAGGCTGAAATGCATCAGCCACTCTGCTTTGTAACCTGATAGCTTTAACACATGCATGGAAAGTGTAAACATATCTCTTTTGACAGGCAAACCACACAAAGCCTTCTGATGATTGGGCATGAGATCTTTTTAAGAAAGCAACTCCTGAAGATAGATTTCCCCAGACAATAGTGGAACAGGGAAAACCGATCTTGCTTAGGAGGAAGGCTGCAGAAGAGGTTGCCAGTAAACAAATTAAGAGAAGGCCATTTCTCCAGCATTCCCTCCCTCCCAAATATATATATATGGAATCTTCTCCCCACAACAGCTATAATAATGTCTTCTACTTATGTCTGAACAGGTGCAACATGTACTATAGGACATAGTACACACTGTTACAAGGACAGAAATAAACCTTTTTTTGAACTGTAAACAGGACATGGTTATTTAAACTAGTATAAGGTCTCAGATACAGCGCTTTCAGCTCACCCTTAGTCTGATTCATTACGAAGAAAATAATAACCACGGCAATTGAACAGTAAAAATGAGATTTTAAAACATTATGCCACATCTAAAATACACATGTATATTTACTTAGCAGATACAAGGCAGACAAACTTGTACTCTTATGTGACCAACTTTCAAGTGAATTTCTATGTTCCCATCTTAAAGCTGCAGAAGCAATATTTTATATACAGTGATGGGAGGGAGAGAGTATATAACATTTCGTGTGTGTTAAGAACCATACATATATACCATAAGTGAGCTTATAAAGTACACACAAACGAGCAACTAGGCTACTTCCCACAGGAGACACATTCTCAGCTTCAAGTCTGCAGAAAAAAATAAGTCAGGTTCAAAATATTTGGATGATACATGCACCCTCCAACTTGTTGTAAGACTTGCTCACTCAACTCCACTGTATGCACAATTTCTAATACAGTACCAGAAGTGAAAATAAAAATATGTAGGCACAGAGACTTATAGAGAACAGGCACAGTAGTGAAAAATACACATACTGTATCGCTTCCATAGATGGCTTCCCCAGAAGTACGGTACATTTGTCTATTACTACAACAGGCTAGGCACCGTCCTAATGTACATTTATCCATGTGGACTGTGGTTACACACAAAGGAAGCTGCCATGTCAGAGCCCAAGTCCATCTAGCTTAGCATGGTCTGTCTGCACTAACTGCCAGCAGCTCTCCAGGTTTTCAGACAGGAAGTCATTCCTAGTGTCACCAGAAGATGCTGGGGATTAAACCTAGGCCCTTCTACATGAAAAGCAGGTTCTCTACCACTAAACTACAGCCCTTCCCACAGTCAGCTTGCTAAATAAAAGGCTTATGAGTTTTTGCTCCAACAAAATTACTCCTACAGGTGAAGATAGATAGGCTGCAGCATTCTGGAGGTCTTTATTATTTTACCAATTTTGGATGAGAAACAGAAAAATACTTGTAAGGGTACCAGTAATCTACAAAAATACTGAAAATCTTAACAGGAACATGGCTTATAATATATTTCAAGCTACGTATATCCAGTGCTGGGATTCAGTGTCATAGCACATCCAAGTCTGACACACAAGTAGACACTCAAAATAGATACAGCTATATGTCCTTCCCTTTCTTTACGGGTGTGACTTGCAAATGCATTCCTATGAACAAACGTTGTAACTGTGAACATATGGAGCTGCCTTATACCACGTCAGACCCTGGATCCATCTACCTTAGTACTGCCCACTCTGACTGGCAGCAGGTCACTAATGTATCTGGAAGTAAGCTGAGCCCTGCCACACAAGGTCCTTTGCTGGCATTGCTGGGGATTGAACATGTGACCTTTTGTATGCAACACATCTGCTTTATGATGGAGCTATGGTTTCTAACTTCCTCCTCTGCTACAAACAGTCTTGAAGAACAGTGCTGCAGCAACTTGCCCAAGGGCTAACAGCACATAGCTAATACTAATATTCAAAGTATAACATGATAATCACATATTTTCCTGTTTACATCTCCCTCCATCTCCATGCTCTCCCACTGTTGTCCCCCTTGTGGCTATTATTAGATTATAAATCCTTTGAAGTAGGAACCCGTCCTCTCGTTCTTTGTAAAGTGCCAGCAACCTATATTACCTAAAATAAGATCCAATCACTTCATTTAAGGGGGAAAGGGAAGTTTCTTTCCCCTCTCTGTATTCTTAGGGCTGCCAAATGTCCAGACATTACCGGGATTTCAAAGGCGGAATTAACATCCGGGGGAAAATTTCTGAAAGGCGGCGCTTTGTCCTGGATCTTAGGCAAGTCAATTGAAAAGCTCAACAACTTTCGGGGTGTCCTGGTTTTTACTTTTTAAAATACGGCAACCCTATGTATTCTGACACGCTACTATGGCTATAAACCAGGTATATGTTGTTTTCCCAGCAGTGGCAGATCAACAGCAATGGGGAAATGCTCCTGGTGTCTTGCTCACAGCCATAACAGCAATACCCAATCCCAGAAAGGAGAGAGGCAAGAGAGACCTTTGCTTCCAACCCGCTACTTGACCCATGAGCAGCAAGCCAGATAGACAGGATGGTAGGATGGGAAATTGGAGGCTCATTTTAGAGTCTGGGGTATGGAATCAGATCTTTTTGTATCTCCCAGAGACATAATTCATCTCAGAATAAGCAATGCTATTTTTTTTAAGCTTAGGGAAATAGTTTGTATGTCCAAATCCAATTCTGTTCATAACTGAGGGAGTTTGCGCCATCACTACAACTTAGAACTTTAAGCATTACAACCTATCTACTGTAGTAATCCCAGGGTGCAGTCTGAAAGCACCTTCCTGAAGACTAGAGTCAAGGTCTACTCTAGTCAGCGCCTGGATGGTGAGTATCTGGGAACTACACTTACACTGTCTTGGGTTCCATGTTGGGAAAATGTAAATCTAACAAAGGCAGCAAAAATGGCCTTGATATAAAGACATTTCCAATGTTTCCTATAATTTAACAATCCTATCACAACACTAAGTAACACTCAAGTTAGTATAGAAAACTTTGGTTTTATTGAACCCAGTAAGAAGATATAATAAGCGCTGCTGGATCAGACCGAAGGCCTATCTAGTCCAACATCCCGTTTCCCACAGTGGTGAACCAGGTGCTTGTAGGAAGCTCACAAGCACAACACGGAGGCAAATACCCTGTCCTGCTGCATTTCTCCCCCCCCCCCAACAGCTAGTACTTGGATGCATATTGTGTCTGAAACCTGAAGACTGCATATAGCCAGAATTCATCATACGGAGTGTGAGCCAGTAGCTTATGGCTTCAAAAAGAGTTTAGACAAATTATTGGAAAATACGTCTAGGAATGGCTGTAGCCATTAAAAGAGGTATTCTCCAAGGATTTGTCTAAAATCTTTTTCAGGCTCTAAGCTACTGGCTGTCATTACATCTTACAGCTGTGAATTCTGTAAATCAGTTGGGCAGTATCCAACGAAATAGATCTGCTAGTGCAAGGATTTCTGCTTGTACAGTGGAACTTCTTCCTTTCCTATCACCGCAAACACTCTGAATCTGTTCTAGGGGTCGTCCCCCCAACAATCCAGAGCAGTTTTTTTAGGGGAAGGTGGGTACAGGCGCATGCAGGGAGCAGAAAAATTCCATTATGCAAATGGTAATCCTTGTGCCAGCAGATCTATGTAGTTGGATAACACCCACTGCTTGTTGGCTGAATTTTTTTTTATCTGTCTGACCTAAGATCTCCCTCCATTCAGGTTCAATAGATAACCCTGAATTCTAGTATTATGAGAGGTGGAGAAAAACATTTTTCTTCATGCCTTCTGCACACCATGCATAGTTTTCTAAACCTTCATCACCTCCCCTATTGCTGTCATAAACTGGCAGGACAGCAAGGAGGAGGAGCAAGAGGAGGAGGATCCGGGGATGGAGAAGGAAAGGTTGGTGTAGGAAGTACTCACAGGGCAACAAAGGATGACAAGGAGATGGGGGAGGTCAGTGCACAGGAACCAGAGCAGCAGGAACCATCACCAGAACCAGAGGGGCACCTGTCTCCACAAACATGTCAGGCTCTGAGGCGTAGGGAGCAGCAGGCAGGGCACTCTAGGAGGCCTGAGGCAGTCAAGGGCCGACAGCCCAGCAACCTAGCTGGCCAGGTGGGGGTCGTTAGCTCTGGGAGGAAGTGTGGGATTTCTTAGCTGAAGTAGGCTTGGAACAGGTGAGGGTCACATGCCTCATCAAGCCCAGATTATGCAAACAGCATGCAGAGTACAAACGGGAAGCAGAGCTGAGGTGCTGTGTCTGCTTAATGGCCCATGTTGATGGACCTCAGCTTGGATGTGTCAGGATCTCCGTGGGGCTGTGCTTCAGCTTGGACATGTGTTTTGACCCTGGACTGGGGACTTGACATGCTAACTTGCTGCCAGGTAGGCCAGGGGTTCACAACAATTACTTTTTTCTAAACTAAAAAGTCTCAGACTTTGCAACTTTCCTCATAGGCCCCTAAAGTTTTTGCTGCCCTTTTCTGCACCTTTTCCAGATCGACAATATCCTCTGTGAGATGTAGCAACCAAAACTATATGCCGTCTTCCAAATGGCATAACAGCATTACAATATCAGAATGGAATTCACCTTTTTCAAAGCTGATGCACACTATGTCAAAGTTTTCCACCAATATCTATTTTCTCCCTATTTATCATGAATTGAGACCCCACCATCGTATAAACAAAGATAGTCTATTTTCTCCAGTGTGGATCACTTTACTCTTACATCCCACATTGACCTTTTCATTGCGCATCACGCAGTTTGAATTGATCCTTTTGGAGGTGTTGCCTGTTTTGGTTTTCACCACCCTAATTAAACTGGAATGGGAGCTTTGTTCCCAGTATAAATAGTAAGCATGCCTCCCAGCTGAATTGGGACCACTACAGAGGGCAAAGGGTTACGCCCACTACCTCAGCTGATCTGAATTGGGGCCCTTATACAGAAAACTTGTTAAAGCTTGCACTCAACAGTACACCATATTATTAATGCCAAGTATACTTTGGCCCTTAAATATTTCTAGAAATATAGTCTACATTTTACTCAATAAGTTCTATTGAGTTTAATGGGGCTTACTCCTGATGAATGGATACAACAGTGCAGGGGAAGAGCCTAGAAAGTCTTGTAGGCTAACGCAATTATTTCCAAAGAACAATAGAACAACTTCTCCAGTGGCACAGAATAGGAAACTTAACTAGATAAAATATTCTGGTTTCAATTCTGGCCTACTCTTTAAGCTAACAGTAAGAATAAGAAACAACAACAATCTTATTTGCCTGAACTGAGTCATTTCTGATTCATCAGCTGCTCAAATGTGTATTAGTAACAATAAGAACCACAAGAATGCCTAGGACAATTAAGTCAGTGTGCTCCCAAACCTCCACCTGAGAGTACGGTATAAAGTATCATTGTTAATAGGAAGAATCACCTCTGAGTTGAGTGCAGATTGAAAAGGTACCTTAGGAGTCATTTTCCACATGAAGTTATACTGAACCTCTTATTTATTTCAACCCTTCTGGAATTCACTAATTCAGCCTGTGCCAAGTTAACAGGATTCTCAGGCGTGACAACCGCTAAGGGAACTAGTACTAATACACATGTATGCGTGTGGGTTTTTGTTGGGGGGGAAGTATTTACGATGTGTTTAAATTACTATTAATGGTTATATATTGGTTCTGAAAATGAAAGCTGATCAATGGGACTCACACTGGTGCACAGTATTGCCTCTGAAACCAGCTCCTACAACACAGCAGGACTGCCGCTAAAAACATTAATGCCATATGGGGATCCATGCTCCTATCCTAAGGCCTGTAATCAGCTCCCCTGTAAGTTAAGTTGATTTCACAGCAAGTACCTATAGCAGAACCACAAGCCAGGGGGACACAGTGGCGCCATGAATAGCTGACATGAAACTCATCAGACCAGCATAGGAACTGATCACAGATGCAGCACATATATATGCCCATTCTACAAATGGACAAACAACCCAAGTCCATTCCGCCCCCCTCTTGTTTGTGCCCCAAAGCACAGTCTATCCTGTCCTGACCATTTTAAAAGGGTGGAAATATGTACAGAAAAATGAAATTTAAAAGGATCAAAAAATGTAGGCACTACTTATGAGGGAGTCCAAGGGCTGCTTTAATGTATTCTCTCTTTCAACAGTGTAAAACTGCTAGGTTCAGCTTCAAAACACAGGTAAAAATGCTTCTGAAAATACTCCAGGAAGCAGAAGCACATCACAATGTGTCATTGCATGAGGGAAAGATAGTAGCCCTGATGTATTGATGG